ACTCACTGCCCCATACTTGGAACTTTGGGATCGTCTTTGACTCCTCTCTCCCTTACCCTTCATATCCAATTAATGACCAGAACCTGTAGTTTTCATCTCTAAAGCAGTTCACATTTGTTCCCTTCTCTGCTACTACTGCAACCATCCTAGTAAAATTCCCCATTACTGCATACAATATTTTCCTTTCAGGTCTTCCCATCCCAATTTCTCTCTCTTCTTCAATCTTATCCTTCATGCTGCTGTCAGAATAATCTTTTTTTTTTTTAATGCACCCATCTGTTCACATCATTCCCATGCTCAAAAAACCTTCAGTGACTCTCTATTGCCTACTGAGTGAAGTTCAAACTACCTTTCCTGGTCCTCAAGGCTCTCTATAACCTACCACTAACTTACTATTCCAGTCTTGACTGTTATTGCTCCTTTCCATGCATACAAAACTCTGCCCTTTGCAGGCAGAGTAATTTAATTAAGGAACAAGTGTTTATTAAGTACCTCCTCTGTGCCAGGCGATGTGCTAGGCAATAGGGTACAGATACAAAAGTGAGTCAGACCCAGTTCTCAAAGAGGTTACATTCTGATGGGAAAGAATACAAAAAGGGGCAAAGTGGCCCTGGAAGAGAGTTTTGGTCTGGGCCACAGGGTAGGTAATTAACACAACTGTTAAGATGGTGATGATCTCATTATCAGAACAAGAACAAGAAGGAAACTGAAGACATCCACCCTCTACCAGCTATCTCCCTGCCCCCCGTGGTCCTATAAAGAATATTCTAGAACCTAGAGATAGAGAACAAGAGGTGATTAGACGTCTTAGGCTATGCTTAGTTATAACTCCAGGGGCCTGCTGTTTTAGCAGACTTTGCATTAAGCCTTACTCTGCTTCAGGAATGATCATAGTCACAGCAGGTTGGCTCCTGCAGAGCTGTGACAATAAGTATTCTACCCATGAAATGTGAGTGAATGAATGCTTGGCAAGTTGGAGATCATCTTTCTTGCTAGAGTTGCCAGGATACTAGCGATAATTAGCAAATAAAGCAAGGACTACATGCTTCCGGGAATGTGTGCTCTTGGGGACACTAAGCAGTCTTCTACATGATGTGAAAACAGGGAGACTGAGAAACCTCCTGCTAATCAAAGATGATCTCTCCTGTTGGCTTGTCAGCCAAAGCTAATCATTTCAGTTGCACCAAGAGGCAGTGTTGTGTGGTGGAAAGAGCACTGTGTTTTGAGTCTAGAGAGACCTGGGTGCAAATCTTGCCTTTGATACTTACTAGTAGGGGCACCATTGGCTAGCAGTCACTTAACCTGTCATCTGTAACATGGAGTTTAATAAGACATTCAGTACATACCTCATAGGATTATTGCAGGGTTGGAATGAGATAATGAATGTAAAGTGCTTTGCCCACTTTAAAGGGCTAGGAAATATCAGCATTGAGGGGAGTAATACCTGAGCAGAGACTAGTTTATCTAATTAACCTGTTGTCATTCATTTCCATGTCCCAGAGAGTAGTAGATCCCTCAGGTAATGAGATACAGGAATAATAATAACAATAATGATATCTAACATTCTTTTTTACCACCTCAAGGTTTGTAAAACACTTTACATAGATCATTCCATTATCTCTCACAACCACCCTATGAGGTAGGTGTTATTATTATCTTAATTTTATAGATGAGGAAACTATGGCTAAGAGGTTAAGTGACTTGTCTAGGGTCTCATAGCTAGTAAGTGTCTGAGGCAGGATTTGAACTCAGGCCTTCCTGATTCCAAGTCTAACAGTTTACCCATAAGATTGAATGGGGAGGGGGAAGCTAGGTGGTGCAGTGGATAGAGCACCGGCCCTGGATTCGGAAGGACCTGAGTTCAAATCCGGCCTCACACACATGATACTTACTAGCTGTGTGACCCTGGGCAAGTCACTTAACTCCACTGCCTAGGCACCCCCCCCAAAAAAAAGAGATTCAGTGGGGAGAGGGCTGTATTGAGGAAGGAGTCAGGCAGAGGTGTAGGGGCTTTAGGGTTCTGAAATACCTGTGGTCACCAATGAGCAGCATGAAGGATCTAGACAGGGCTGGGGATTCCAATGGGGCAAGAGAATAGAAAAAGGAAAACTGAAGGGGAACTAAGGAACTTCTTCCCAGTTTTAGAAAACCCAGGGGGATCCAGGAAACTCAGAAAGGACAAGCATGGCTGGAAACCTGGGTAGAGGCAGGAGGTTGGAGAGGACAGGGCAAAGGAAAAGGGGAGAAGCATTTTTAATGTGCCTGGCACTGTGCTAAGTACTTTACCAATATTATCGCATTTGATCCTCATAACAACCCTGGGAGCGGGGTGCTATCATTATTCCCATTTACAGTTGATGAAAATGAGATTAAGTTACTTGCTCAGGGTCACACAGCTAGGGGGTGTCAGAGGCTGGATTTTAATTCAGGTCTTCCGAACTCCAGGCACAGTGCTGTATCTACCATGCTACCTAGCTGGGCAGCAGGGAACAGAGCTGTAATTATTCACATTGCTGAAGTGATAGGGCAGGGTCAGAAGAACTGCTAGAAAAGGCAAAATGGCATAGGAAGTGAGTGCTGAACTTGGAGTAAGAAAGACTTGAGTTCAAATCCTACCTCAGATACTATCTGTGTGAACCTGGGTAAGTCATTTGACCTCTTGAGTCTTTAGTTCCTCATCTGCAGAGTGAGGCGGTTGGACTTAATTTCTCAGATTCCTTCCAAGACTAAATCTATGCTCTATGCTATCTTGGATTAAACTATGACCAGAAACAAAGAACTGAGTGCTGAAGTAAAAATGATTAGAGAACTTGGGAAAAGTAAGTATTCTGTCTTAGAATTTGTACTACCTTGGGATTTGTTTTACAAGGGAGGAAAGTCAATGATAACCTGACATGTTTCCACCTACATTTTCAGTAGTGGAGGGTGAATTTCCAAGATTCATAGACCAGATAGATAGGAATCCATGGCCTAAAATTCTACAAAGATTATCAGCCCAAGAGAGATGGGAAATTCTCAAGTATGATGTGATCTCTCTTCTATATATACTGTGTATACAATATGTGCTATTGAGTCTAAGTCTGACTGTCTACAACTTTGCTTCTAATACTTGCCTCTGGGGACAAGCAAAACTAAGCTGAGTTTTCTTATATGGCAATCCTTCATATGCTTGGAGATCGCCATCGTGTGCCTCCTGCTAAGCCTTCTCTTCTCCAGGCTCTGCTTTGATCTGGGGAACAAATTTGAAGAATGACATTGATACACTGGGGGCTACCCTGCTACCCGGGATGGTGGCCAGGCTAGGGAAGGATCTGAAGAATGAGGACCAAGAATGTTTAGGCTGGGAAAGAGAGCACCTAAATGGATATGATATCAAAGTGGCAGACAAAAGAATTTAGGCTCAATAGTAAAAAAAACAATCTTAACACTTGGAGTTATCTTAAAAACAGAGCGGGCAACTTTGAGAAAGAGTAAATTTGTGGTCTTTCATGGTCTCTGAAGGTCTTCAGATGAAGACTGGATGAGCATTTAGATGAAGATCCAGTTGAGCAGATTGGTAGGTACACGTTTGACTAGATGGTCTCCTCAGATCCTGTCCAGCTCGAATTTTGTTATCCTGCTACTCCTGACAGGACATCAGTTTTCTGTTTAAAAAATGAAGGAAGAAGCTAGAAGTGTCTGGGTAGAAGGAAGACTACTTACTACCTGTCAGAGATGGGGCAAAGGGGACTTAGTAGAATATAAGCTTTTTGAGGGCAGGAACCAGTCTTAGGGAAACTTTGATTCTCTTCTAGTGCTTCCAAGCACAGTTGGTGAGGTTAAGGGGGAAAACAGTAACCCCATGACCCAAAAGCATTTTCCATCTATTATTCTTTATGTGTTGGCTTATCCCCCCATGCCTTTTAAAAGTGAAAAGGTCTTTGGAATGATTGATGTATGGAGTCTTAGGATCATAAGATCGGATATTTAGAATTGGAAGTAATCTCAGAGTTCATGTAATCTTACATCCTTCATTTTATAGATGAGAAGACTGAGTCACAAAGAGTTTAAGTAACTTGTCCAAGCTCCAGCGGTAGACAAGGGATTCAAATGCAGGTCCCATGAGTCTTTCCACTATCACCCACCTCCTCTCCCCATCTCCTTTAACCTATGGATTACAATTGTATCTGTGACTGGGATGACAATAAGCCTCATTGAACCAAGGAGGGAAGCTGATCAAGACACAATGATTTTATAATGGGGAAATTTTTGTCTGATGGCTCTACAGCTGGCCCCACGCATAGGATAAACAAAAATGTATCCTAGATACAGGCCCATAAAAGCCAGCTTTATCGGTTTGACTAATGAGAACAGAAAACCGCATGAAGTATAATAAATTTTAAACTCATTCTGTGAGGCTTTTTCATTATCTGCTGTACCCATTGGATGAGCTTATCATAGGGTTTTCTAGATGAGTGGCATAATGATTCAAGAAATTAAAAAAAAAACATGGGATTTAGTCAATCTTGGCTCAGCCACTTGCTATTTGGGTGACCTTGGGCAAGTCATTTCTCCTTTCTGAACCTCAGTTTCATTTCTAAAATGAAGTCATTGGATTGGATGACCTCCAAAGTCCTTTCCAGCTCTAAGTCTCTGATTCTATCAACTGATGCACTGTCAAAGACAACAGAATGAGCATATGTGCAAGTCTGAGCTGGTGTTAGACTGCTTTGATATAGTCTAAATGCTACTGGTGGACCAATAGCTTTTAGGTGTCACAGGAGGTAAAATCCTTGAATCGTACTGCTGCATGCATTTAATAGCTATTTAAAGTTTCAATTCTACATTATCTTCTGGACAGAGAGCAACTCGTGCATCAGATGGTCTCCTACATAAGTGGTATGACCTTTGTATCAGTCAGGTGCCATGTTAGGCCAAAGAACTTGAATGTGTTTCTGTAATGAGACCCAATCTTCCTACATTGCCTGATGCCCTGACTGCTTCTGCTTGTTTGTTTGCAGGTTTGCAGAGATTTTGTGAAGATATAGAAATGATGATTGGGTTCCAGCCAAACATATTCTGGAAAGTCTGCTGGGCATTTGTAACACCTACTATTCTTACAGTAAGGATCATATATTGCCAGTGGATGCTCCAACTCATGAATTAGATTTCTCTGGATTTATTTGATTTGTTTATGCTTCCCTTCTAAAGAGCAGAGCGTGGTAGCTTTGTGTAATTAATCTCAAAGATGAGAACACTGTGTACTTATCCTAGTAACTCTATGCGTACTTACAAAGGGAATCTTTCTCCTTTCATTGTACAAGAGGTTGCTGATGTGTTCTTTAAAGACCTTCATATGGAGATGGGCCCCTGGATTCATACTGCAGATTCTCCCCTGATCCCTGGGGCAGTAGGTTCAGTGGAAAGAGAATTGGTTCCGCAGTAAGGGGGCCTGGATTAAAATCCTACCTCTGATGCTAACTACTTGAGCATCTTTGGGCAGGTCATTTAAGCTCCCTGACCCCAAACTTCCTCCTCTGAAGTCCCTGTCAGCTGTAAACTGATATCCCTCAAGTCTCGATAAACGATCTCTTATTTTAATGCTCTTTGGAAAGCTATGGGTGCTCTCATATTCCCATTTTCCAGCAGGTGGCGCTAGAAGCCAGACTAAGAATGACCAGCCAAAGGTTGAGTGCTGGTATCTCTGAAGGAAATCAGGCAGGGAGAAAGATAATTGTGAAGAAAATCTGCATTTTCTTTTCTTTTGCTGTCATGGAGAATATAATCACATCATTTCAACTTCTTTCTGAGAGGCTGGAACAAAAAGAGGGGAAAAAAAGACCTATGTGATGCATTTGTTTCCGTCTACATGGAAAGTGATTAGCATTACTTTGGCATGCAGTCCTCCCCTCCCCCTGCCCATTATTCTAAAAGTCCCCTTTGCTGGAAGAGTTTAGATGTGAAATTTTAAAGGGTGTAAGATATGTTTGCCTTCTTTTAAAACCAGAACTGAGTCCACTATAGAAAGATCTGAATTACCTACTTGGTCGAAGGGAAATGCTTTATTGATGGAGTGAGAACATGCCCCTCAGTTGCTGCCAATAGTGGGGGTTTTTTTATTGGCCCAAATAAAAATTGGAATCCCTATGGGATTCGGCCTGCCTGCTTTCACTCTTTTGCCCTAGGGGAGTAGTGGAGACATTTGAACTGGAGAGATGCTTGTTGGATTCTGAGGAAGTGTAGTATATACATTTACATGTGCCATATCAGTCTCTGAGTTGGAAATAAATTATAGATCCTTATCTCTCTGATGAGAAGCACAGAGCCAAAGGCATATTTGATTAATCTATCATCTCTAAAGCATGCTTCCCATCCCTATGCAGAGATAGGACAGTAAAGAGGATTGTTCTGCTTCCCAGCCAGTCTGACACTGGGGGCAATTATATCCCTGCCTTCTTCCTTCAGGGTCTCTTTCAGGTGCAACTGAATTTAGGGTGATTTTTAAAAAATCATGCCCTTTTTAGATAGAGATAGTTGAAATAAAAACACTAGATTGCTCATGGGTCTTTCTTTTCCTTCCTTCCTTCCTTCCTTCCTTCCTTCCTTCCTTCCTTCCTTCCTTCCTTCCTTCCTTCCTTCCTTCCTTCCTTCCTTCCTTCCTTCCTTCCTTCCTTCCTTTCTTTCTTTCTTTCTTTCTTTCTTTCTTTCTTTCTTTCTTTCTTTCTTTCTTTCTTTCTTTCTTTCTTTCTTTCTTTCTTTCTTTCTTTCTTTCTTTCTATATTGGGAGGTTTCTTTAAGCTGTGCATATCCATTGAGATTTTGCTTTTGCTTTTGTTTCCCCATCCCTACCCACTTTCCACATACTACAGGAGTGACACGGTTACATGTTTCACCCAAGATGTGCTGCTTTCAATTTTGTGGTTCTTTTTCGTGGCATTTAGAAGAATATTGAACTCAATAATGGGCTCAGGTGAAGACTTTGAGTCACCTCTATCTCCCATTTAGCATTGACATGAATCTGGGACTTTACTGAGTTAAAAACACTGAAATTCCTCCCAACTCCCTTTAGCTCTCCATTCCTTCCCTGAGAGAATCTGCTGTTGTTCAGGCATTAGCTAATGGTGACAGATTGCTCTCCCGTGAAGAGAAGCATTTGATGGTTTGTTTTTCCTGTGGGCCCAGCCACTGAACAGAATATTAAGAGGAACTGGATTCTAGTCTCAACCTTTCTAAGGACTTTATGTGTTTCTTGTGTAACACATCTACTTAGTTCTTTGCTAAAGAAACGACGTACTGTAACTCATCCTAGGGGAAAATGTGGACAGTGCAGGAATTAGTTTTGCTTGATGGTGAGTATTTGTTCCAAGAGTTTTGTTTTTGTTTTTCATTTAGGGTAGGATATGGGAGGGAAAGAAAATTACATTAGTTAAATTAAAAATCAAAGCAGATGTAATTTCAAAAAGAAAAGAAAAAGAAATTAAAAAAAAGAAAGTATGAGAGCAAAGGGAAAAACCAAACTATCTTCTTTCAGTGAGAATTTATATACACTCTGACCTCAAGTGGCCCTACATTTTGGAAACCATTTCTGAAGGTATACGTAAAACAAAATGTCCTTGCTAGTGTACTGTTTTCTGGGAAGCAAGCTCAGATTTTTTTCGGTGGTGGGTGGATTTGACTCAACTTAGCACCACATTATCAGTGGATAGTCAATAGGTGAGATTTTATTGAAACTAAATCCTGAGAAAGGAATTTAGTATGAAGAATGATCTTACATTGATCAGCATGATGTGATATTTGTGCATCTAGACATGGAAGTAAAAAGACCCTGTCATCCACTGTTGTGTGTTCTTGTTGTATCCTACTACAAATCTAGGATTGGTAGTGAGCTAGGAAGAGCTAACGTTATGGCTTAAATGACTTTGTAGCCCTGGAAATAAAATTGATCATTTTTATGCATGCCTCCTTGGATTTACAGGGCTATAAATATTCTCCATGCAATTATTGCATACATAGTCAGATCACGTTACTGAATTATGCACAAACATAAGCAGATGTATTGCTATTTATATAGTAAATGAAATGGAGCAACTTAACATAATTACATTAGACCATAGTGCCAATAGACTGTGTAATAAAGCTTATAACTCTAGGGGCAAATGTTTAAAAGGAACTTGGAGTAGTGCTCTTTCGTTGTAGGAACATGAAAAAATAGTTGTCTACAGGCCAGGGTTGTTTAGAATTTTTGTGCTGAAGTCTGAGTGCATAGAAATGACTGCTTAGACTATGTATGGACTACGTATGCTTGGTGTGCCAGTAAAGGTGATGGTAATAATAATAATAACAGATGATGATGAAGATGTTATACAAATGTCTTACATGTGTACGAGGTTTTATGCTTCTCAAAGTGCTTTCATGTGCTCTATTTACTATAATTCTTTCTCCACACTCCACTTTAAACACTGATATTTTTCATTTCAAAGGAGTAGGGAGGCAAATCATGTGACTATCCAGGCCACTGTTCCTAGAGATGTAATAAAGCTGGCAAATCTAGCCTTACGGTCCCTGGGAAATGACTCTGAAGGCTTGATGAGAGCAAGACACACCTGTTTCCATTTCTCTCATTCTCATTTTCAGCAAATAGGATCATTCATGTTATTTCCTGACCAAGTCTTCAGAGGATCTCTTGCTGTGGGTTTGTGTGGGTGGGGGGCAGAATTAGTCTATTATCCACTATTGTCCCGGACAAGTAATTAGGGGACCAATTATTCCTATTTTGCATAGGAAGGATCTGAGACTTATGGAGTGACTCAATTAATGACTGGCAGATCCAGGATTACAAACCTGTGCTCCTGTTTTTTAGTGTGTGACCCACCATGCTGCCTCCACCCAATTGTAAGGCCAGAAAGCTATAACAATACTCTTTCCCCCACTGTTTATTAAAAGAAACATAGATGAATCAGTCTTTATAGCTGTAGTTTGCACCAGATAACTTCTCCAGTGTCATTCTGGGTCAAACTCTGCAAGGAGCTACTTGCTTGATATGAGCCATAGTTTGGCCAGGTGAATTAGAAGAAGGGCCAATTTAATTCCTTTGTGTGTGGGATGACATGCTCCAAGTTATTATTGATGAACCTGCCTTAACCATGTGTTGTTTTCTTTTCCCCTTCTTTCCAGTTTATCCTTTGCTTCAGTTTTTATCAGTGGGAACCCATGACCTATGGCTCTTACCGCTACCCCAACTGGTCGATGGTGCTTGGATGGTTGATGCTGGCCTGTTCAGTTATTTGGATCCCAATTATGTTTGTGATAAAAATGCATCTAGCTCCAGGCAAATTTATTGAGGTAATTCTATGGATTTCTATTCCCCTGCTAACCCCTCCCAAGGGAAAGCCAGGGAAATCTATGCATGAAAAGAAAAACAGATTCAGTAAACTTATTCAAGAGGTAGACCCGATGATTAAGTGATTATAATTGCCACAGTTTTCTATTAAATCCATTTTTATTATGTATTATTCTACTAATGGAGGTTTTCAGCCAATCCAAATGCAGAGCTATTATTATGCTATTCCTCAACCTGGTGACAGCTCTGTTGAATAAATGATCATAGCTTCAGCTCCTTTCCCTGGAGTTTCCTTCTTCTCTTCCCTCACCTGCATTTTAAATCCCAGTATTTAGTTTTTAACTACACATGAAATTCCTTTTTCTCACTAGTTTTTCCCCTCCACCCCAGTTTTTTCTTTCTGAACTCTATCATCATTTCTATGTTAGAAATACATTCAGTATAATTAATCTGTCACAGTTTTCTCTCCTTGCTGCCTGCTGTTCAACTGTGGTTAACATTGATGGGATTGGCACTATCCCTGTAGGAAAGAGATAAGGGTCTCCAGGCAACAATTGACTTTGCGAACAGGTGGCATAGGATGTATCCCATGTAGTGGCTCTTAAACAGTTTTGGGGGTCACCTGTCTACCTTTAGATTCAGTGATACTTTATATCTCTGAGCCTTGATTTCCTCATAAAAGGAAAGGACTAGCCTGGAGAGGACCTGTGCAACTCAAAAGTTGTAAAATGGTGTGATTCTATAGTATATGTTCACTTTTATCAATGCGATAACACCTCTTCAGAATGAATGAGAAAATTTGTACTGCTTTATATAAGCTACTAGTAAAGCGAAATCTGGATTTTATTGCTGTTAGAATCAAATTTATTCACGCTGTACTAGTAAGAGAAAAATCTGGCTACTAGGATGACCACTGGTCCATGGAGCACAAGGAAAAATATGGGTCACTAGAGGGCAGTAATACTGACACTGAGTAACTTGTGTCCTTGGGGTCCTTGCCCTTTCAGTCAACTAGAACTAGAAAGAAAGGAGCCCCTTTGGATCTGGAATACAAGAAGTAGAATGAGTTCATGTCAACCATGGGGCGATATTAGAAAATGCACAAAAACCAGGGGGATGGAAGTTGAAATTCATTAATTTGAAATGATCTGCTTAGAATGTGATAGTTATCCCTGGCAGATATAGGAGGCAGACTTGTTCTCATTAAGTCAGTAATCCAGTTTTCATCACTGGGAATCTTTCCTATATTTCATGTCCTGTTTTTAGATCACTGTTATATAATGAGACCTAGTGACTGCAATTATGTCCCAATGAATCACCTTAGCCCACTGCTCTGAAATCCTGCTCAACTGGAACAAACACAGTGTTAGTCATGGGTATTTCCATCTTAGCCTGCAATGTCCTAACCTGATGAGTCAGCTATATACATTTATTATGGTTGATTTGGGATATAAAGGTTGCAAACTGATAATTAAAGTGGAGATTAAAGTAACTGATAGAGGAGCCAGATTCATTTTAATAGGTAATAAACATATAATTACTCCATCCACAAAGCCAGAGATTTGTTTTCTTTCTTTTTTTAAATACAAAATTCTCCAATCAAATTAAGTTTTCAATGAAGACTTCAGTGAGAGAATTAGATAATTCCCATTATTTTTAGCTTGCCTTCAGGAACCTGCTTCTGTGAACCGAAGAGAGAAGTAACCACTTTTTTGAATAAGATAATGAACATCTTTGCTCACTCTTCATAATATATCTTTTGGGTTTGGATTAGGGTTTTTATTTGGCCATTTATGTCCTTTTGGGAAATATGGTAAAGAAAATTTAGTTATTTAGATGCCACCACTACCCACTGTTGAGATTGCAGAGCTGAAGTAATTGAGCATGTGTCCTCTGAAGAACATGTTTAGCAGTTGGGGAGAAAATCTTACAAATTTTCTTCATTTGGAGGAAAAAAAATATCTAATTAAAATCTGGGCTCTGTATCCTTTATTAATCTTGCAAATTTGTGTGCAAAACAAACCCTAAGCAGCAGTGCATGATAATTTTACTTGCAGGGTGATGTAAACAATTTTAAATGAGCCAAAGTAAATCCCCCTTTCCTGGCCCAGCTAATTACTGGGCCCGATCTTGCCGAACAACTTCTTGCCATAGGAGATTTAGGGAGGGTCACAAGGTAGGTGGGTCTAATAGTAAACCTTTTCTGAATTCTTAGTTTAAGTGTAAGGAGGAAAGACTTTGGTTCCTGTGACCTGTGACAGACATCCTTTGGTTCTCTTTCAGAGGCTCAAGTTGGTCTGTTCTCCACAGCCAGACTGGGGCCCATTTTTGGCTCGGCACCGTGGAGAGCGTTACAAGAACATGATCGACCCGTTGGGAACATCGTCCCTGGGATTGAAACTGCCAGTGAAGGATTTCGAACTGGGGACCCAATGCTAGTCTTATGGCAGCAACAGCCCAGCCTTGATTTATGATTTTTTTTTCTTGTTTCCCTCCCATGTCCTTACTTTCTTCCCCACTTACCACATCTCCCTTCACTTCTGTGCATGAGAGCGGTTGCTTAGAAAAGTAGGACTTTTTGTCGCATGCTGTAGTGAAGAACTAGACAGACCACTTGAAGCAGTGTTGGCTTTCAGTTAGTGGCTTCCTACGTGTTGGATTTTCCCCTTGTGCTGTTGTTCACCTTTAGGGAGTGGATTGGAAAAAGTTGTTTCCACCAGTCATTTGGGCCACAAGGAGGAATGGTTTGATGAGTGCAGCATGTTTCCTTTTGGTGGCCAAGGTAGAGTTGAAGCAGAGTGCTAAGGTGTTGTGACCTCAGCCATGAGGCCACCAGTGATTTGGAAGATATTAGCATGGAGAGTTGAATGAGCAATTTCAGTGAGTTTTTTCCAGAGAACTAAAGTTCAGGAGAAAATTTATTTTTGGAAGGCATTAAAATGGCAATGATCAGAAAGTATTTTTGGTATAAAGCCAGGTGGGTACATGTGGACATCACTGAATTGGTTGATTTCATGAGTTTCCATGAATAATTTGAATTTTGTCTCTCTCATTTGGAACAAAGGTGTCATAGTTTGAAGCCCCTAGTTTTTTCATTCTCAGCATAGAACTCTGAAAAATCATTTCTGTTCCTTCCATTTAAGTCTTTCTTTATGAAGCCACATCTGTGGGGTTTTGGGTCATTTTTTTTTTTGTCTTTCTGCGATCTCTTCTCAAGAAGCCATCATATAATTTGTGCCAGATTTTATATTCTCACAGTAGTTCTATGTTCTAGTTTTAACATGACATTTAGCTGTGTGGTTCAATGTAGTGCTCTCTTATTTCTTCTCTTTAAATGCTTTTCTATAAGCTGTGGAAATATTGTTCTCTTTCGACTTCTGGGAAAACAAGACTTACCCCAACTCTGTCTATATATTTTATATATATAGGACATAAACTCTTAAAGACAGACTGATAACTTCTCAATTTTTACTCTCAACTTTTTTCACTCACAGTAACTGCCAACTGTGGTCATTAAAATATAGAGAAATGGAGAGTTTAGTAGAAGGCAGTCATGCTGTCCCTGGACTGGTAGAACATTTCTAGGTCACTGCGTTTACAGGATTTTCTGATAAATACAGCTTAGGTAAGTAGTGATCAAGCCAAGTAAGACTCTAGCTTTTAAGAATACATTTAGCCAATCCAATTTTAGGAATTCCCCATTTATAGCACTTATTGTAATTGCATTATAATGAGAGAGAAAAATATGTCTACCAAGATGAGCAAAACTGTAACCTTTATTATCTCCTTATATCCTATACATAAGTAGATGAGCTTTTTAAAGAATGATCTGTGTTCATGTAGTGTGTACCAGTAGTGCTGTTTTACATCCATATAAATATCTTACAAAATAATGTAGATATGGTGACTTTAGACTAGAGTAGTCTGAGTTTCTTTTCTTTTCTTTTTTTGGCCCACTGTAATAGCATCAAATCTAAAATTGATTCCTTTCGAGGGACCGTTTCAATCATTTTCCTATTTGTCTCTATGTCTTCACATTACAGGGTCTCAGGTAAATATTCAGTTAAAAACATGTCTATTGATGTGATACTTTCATCCATTTGAAAAACAACAAAACCCCAAACCAGACCTTAACGTCACATTTTCCGAGAGAAACCTATTTCTTTTGCATAAAATACTGACTCATTTTGCTGAGCTTTCTCTTTTCTAGGGCAAATAGTGTTGCCATTTGCTGACGTGGGTGTGGAACTTTAAAGTTTGCCTAAGCAGTATGTGAAAAATGGAATGAAAGTGGGTTGGGAGATTTGGTTCCATCCCCACACCCCCATAGTCTGCAAGGTCCCCTTCACCCCTACTTTATGGTAGAGTTTGTTGTCATTCACAGAGGCAGAATAATGCTCTTTGTACAGAGACTTTACCAAAATCAGCACTCACAACTTAGCCTTACAGTGCTATGCTGTTGATTCACCTATGCCAGTGGGTTTCATAGGGGCATGGTGTACTCACTTCCTGGAAAAAGCCATATTGATAAGAAGCTACCATTGGTTTGGCAGAGCAATTTGATCAAGAGAATGGGCCCTACCAAATGGCTTTAGTGGTTATTGTGGTAGGGGAGGGCAGCTGGGGGAATCTGTTTGGTGTTAGAGTGAATTACCTTTCCAAAGCAGAGAAGACTTTCTATTTTGATGGTTGGAGAAAAGACCACAAATCAATTACCACTATATGTATGTGATGATGATTCTTCCCGCCCCCCCGACCCACTTCTGTCTTTCGGTCTCTGTCTTTTCTCTTTCTATTCTCTATCTCTGCCTCTATATTTTCTCTGTTTTTGTGTCTCTGGGTGTCTCTCTGTCTCTATCGTTCTCTTGCTCTCACTTTTCTCTTCCTCTTTCTGGCTAAAAATTGAGTTTGATTTCAGAAGCCATTGTGAATTTCTTCCAATTATTTTTTGGTGATTAAAAGAAAAAAATTCTTTCCAATGTAGCCAGGTTATCCAAACAATAAGTTAACCTAATTGCTGGTTAAACTTTTTTTTTAACTGGATAGTTTTAATAACTGTGCAGTTAGAAGTGGCTGCTTTTGTGTTAATTAGAATTTATCTATTCAAGAAGATAAAACATAGGCATCTACTCTTTGGCCATCTGTTGTTTTCTTGCTATTTTGAAATTTTAGATGAAAATTGTTTGAAGTGGCTAGTACCAGGTGAGAAATTCCTAACTTTTCTTAGGGGCTGCAAATCTGAAGCATTTTAATTTTAAAATTTCATTTCTTTCATTGTGATAGCCATTCCCAATTTTCAATCTTTTATGTTTAGAGATATTAGAGAAGACAGATCTCTTTCCAGTCATTGAAACCCAGTGTATCTTAAGTACTTGGTCAGTACTATTTCAGCTAATATGTACACAGTTCTGACAAATATTTCTGCGACATTAAAAAGCTTGCACCCAGCTCAAGAAAAATAAATGAATTTTTAAAAGTTACCAATATCACCATAAACTACATGTGGGGCCTCTACTACCTGACAGTTTTCCATTTGATTAAAGAACATTGGAATTGTTAGGGAAATTTATTATTGTGCAGAAGAGCTTGGTAATTTTCCATTGATGAAATTATTTTGGTGACACCAACAAATGCCAGAAACTCATTCCAAAGCAAAAAGCCATATGTGAAAAACCAGTGACCCTGTAAGGTCCTCCAAGGAGAATAATTGTATATTTATGAACTATTGGTGTTGTGGCTTTCTATGCAGATTTTAGCCTTGCAAGTTAGTAGCTTTCAATCTGTTCAAAATTGTGTTTGTCACGTGCTTCTGTGCTCAAAAGAGGTCAAATTCTGGGACCAGTTCAAATGTCCTACTTTGTGTTTTGTGCATGAAAACTACACTCAATGCAAAATCCTGGATGACCTCAACTGTTTTGGGGTCTTCCAAGTATTTCTAATATGCAAGAAATATAACCAACTTGTGTTTCAGCAAGAAGCAACAGCACTTTATGCTTCAAAAAGAAGGGTTGAACATAATGACTCTTACTTGGACCAGACTTGGACTGTCTTTACATCAGTGTTTTGTTTGGTTGAGCTAACCTTTAATTAGGTTCTACTTCACTGATCATCTAGAGGTGCCTCAGTGTTCAGTGTCTCCTTCTACCTACCTACCCATTTGCTTGATTTTTCCATGTTGAAGGTCCGGATTTCCTTTGTGCTCATCTCATTGCTCACTGATCATCTTCCCCTTCCTAGAGACTTGTATAATCCTATTGCTTTGGAGACCATGGAGAGCAAGATCATCCTGATGCGTATTTGTTGATGGGGATTTGGCCTTGTGTTGTTCCTCTTTTCAGGGCTTATGTTTTGGCAGCATAATGCTAGAAACACGGATTCAGGGCACTTTTCACTGTAGGCTGTCCAGCAATGTCAATTTGGATGAGCCATGTGAGGGGGGGATTTCTCCACTTGCCCAACTATAGTTTGTGGGGGGAGTTTCCAGCTTGGAAGAAACAGATTGGGAAATTGGGCCTCAATTCCCAATTTTCTGCAAAGAGAATATCCGGTACTCATGAAATATGGAACTTTTGTCCTCCTGAGATTTGGCTGTCCAGGCCCACAGAAGGATCATGTGTTTCTGCTATCTCATGGTCCCTGCCTCTGCCATCTCGAAGCAGCCTGCAACCAAAGAAAGAGTGCATTTTTGATCTGGGGTTTAACTTGTCACTGGAGAGCAAGCAGAATCTTATGACTTCAATAGTTTGGTTTTCCTGCCATGTTTTCAATACATCTTCAGGTTACCATTTGCCTTATAGGTGTATTTCATCATTAGGATAAGAATTAGTGTTGAACTAGAATCTGTTGTCTGTCATGCATAATGTCTTGTGTCCTTATTGTCTTTTTTGGCACTTTATTCCAGACCTATAACTGAATAGGTTAATTGGTAATTACATACTTGTGTAATGTCATGAATACAGGCGCTCCATAGGGAAACTATTGCCTGTGAAAAATAAAGATATGCTCCCTAATCAGGTCATTATATTTTTTCATTAGCTATACATGAAGAAAATATATGTTACAAATGATACATCATATATATCTTATATAGTGCATATTATATATTGTTCATTTAAGAAGTCATTATTCTTGAGGCCCTACCTCAAATTTTGTATTTATGTGTACAAATGCAATTTATTGTATTATATATTTGCCTATTATATAATGCTGTTATAAATTAGAATTTATCCTATAATGTATGAGTTCTAAAAACACTAAATAAATGTCAGTGGTTAAAACATGATGGTTACTGTGTTGTGTCTGCTGGAAACCCATTACCCAACTTCATTCTTACTTAACTAATAGCCTTTGGGTATCTGCAGGATTGATCCATTTTACTGTTGGAAACCTAGAGCAGCCAGGGAAAACTACCCTCCTGGGAAAATGAAATATCAAGCTACTGTAGAAACAAATATCAATTAAATGGTTGTATTCTTAATCATCAGAATGCTTTGTTGCTTGCTAAATTATTAATTATCCCCCTCAAAGGGCTGTGTGTGTGTATGTGTGTGTGTAGGTGTGTGTGGTATAAGGGTATATGTGTGTGTATGTGAATGTTGGAGAGAAGTAGTAAAATCTTTTGTTGTAAATTAACTATTACTTTATTAGTCTTTAAGACGGTTTAGGTAGGAGAACTGGAATTAAGACTTTCCTGTCTGGAGAACCAAAGCTTGGTCCTTTTCATCTTGGATAAAACTACCATAATGAATTGACTTTGGGTCAAGACTCCAGCATTGTAATGGCAAGAGTGACCTGGACTACCCAAAGTAGGAAAACAACTCTCCCCCATTCCCTACCAGCCTGGCTAAAATGCAGCTGTTGAAACCTGAAGAATTAACGTCATTACACTGACTAAGCCTGAGAATGACATCTAGTGACTAAGCCTACATATACCAGCAAGGTAGATATATAAATAACATTGGAAGAGAAAACTGGTTCAGCAAACTCCAAGCTAAGCATAGTGCTTTATCCTCTTAGAAAGTATCCTCCAGGGGCAGCTAGGTGGAGCAGTGGATAGAGCACTGGCCCTAAAGTCAGGAGGACCGGAGTTCAAAAACAGCCTCAGACCAAACACTTGACACTTACTAGCTGTGTGACCCTGGGCAAGTCACTTAATTCCAATTGCCTAAAAAACAAAACAAAACAAAACAAAAAGAAAGTGTTCTCACATGAGTAGAGAAAGTTATCTTGGGGATGGGAGGAAGAGGATGTTGGTTGAGAAACAAATGATGTCCAACAATTCTTAGGTCTTCAGCTTGGTCTGCATGCCCCCAACATATTTCTCAGTCTTATTTTTTGTTATCTTTTTAAATAAGGATAAGAGATGGGAAATAGGGACTGGACCTGTGATATCATTGATATAGAGAACTCCCAAATGAGGAAACTCAGTTGTCTGGAGTATGGAGCGGTTAAGTGTCTTGCCCAGTGTCACATAGCCATTACATATCAGAGGCAGGACTTGAACCTCCTTGACTCCAAGCCTAGCTCTTCATCCATTGTATTAAGTGGCCTCTCTGTTTAATTAGTCTTCAAGATCCTTTTTTTTTAAAAAAAAGAAATGATGACCAAGACATAATATGGACATGGGAGAAGTAAGGGGAAGCTATCTGGTCTTATGTCCAAAAGAAAATTATTTTGGTGCTAGAGCAGGAAGGGATCTTAGAGATCATCTAGGTCAGCTTGATTTTGCAAATGAGGGAGCTGAGGCCTTAAGAGGTAAAGTCACATATCAATGACTATATAGGCAGTAGATAGCAGAGGGCAGAACTTTTGGACCCAAATCCACCTCCCTTTCCCTTGTGATAGTCAGTGTTGATTGCTTTGTTTTTGTTATTAGCCCCATCTACTTTGTTGTTGCAGTCATTGTGTATATTGTTTTCCTGGTTCTGCTTATTTCACTACGCATCATTTCATATGTTTTCTCACACTTTTTATACTCATTATTCTCTATAAAGTAATAATATTCTATTAATATTCCTTCCTTCCTTCCTTCCTTCCTTCCTTCCTTCCTTCCTTCCTTCCTTCCTTCCTTCCTTCCTTCCTCACTTCCCTCTCCTCTCCTCTCCTTTCCTCTTCTCTCCTTCTCTCTCCATTTTTGACTCAGGCTAATTTACCCCCTTTTTAGGTCCCACACTCCCAGGAATTTACCATATTGATGCCAGATTTAGTGTGCCACCTTTAGCACCACTACATCTCAGAATTCCTGAGCTTTAAGCATGACACCAGCCTTAGCTACCCCAATAACTGGGAATACAGGCATGCTCTCTGGTACTGAGTTTTAAGGGAGAAAGGAGAGGGGGACAATTTTCGAGCCAAGGTTGCTGCTTGAGTAAGGCAGGACTGAGTGGAGGAAACTCAACAGGTGATTTGGACAGCATAAAGGCCATATAATTGGGTCAGCATTCTTGCCTAGTTAAGAAAAAAGAGAGAGTCCCAGAACTTGAATGAGAAAAAGAAGGTTGGAAAATATAACTTATTCAAAGTGAGAATTAATAGAGACAGCACTGGACAGAGAATCAGGAAACTTGGTACTTGTCTTGAATCTGCCACATAACCCAAGCCCCTTCATTTCTCTGGGCCTGTTTCCTCACTTACAGGATGAAAAGGTCCAAATAGATGTGCTATAGGTCCCTTAGATCTCTGAACTTCTATGATTTTTCTGAGAGCTGGTGGTGTGGATAGGGAGATGTCACCACCTGAGGTGCTATAGGATCATTGCTTGCCTAAGAATATTGACCATCTTTCCTTAACACTCAACAAAATT